AAGAGAGAAATGACCGATGTCTGCAAAAAAGGCATCAGGAGCAGAACGTCTCTCATCCTGAAGGGCGATGGGAGGGCATGGAGGACTTCCACCACACCTATCCAGAAACCACACACCCCAAAATCTTCCGACCACAGTCGCAGGCCTCCCAGGCACCCACAAATTACTCCGGAGAACTAGCAGCAGGTAGGCGAGACGAGCAGGCCTGCCGGGCTCCAGGCGGCAGGCTGGAAGAAGATCAAGAAGCACTCTGACACAGCGATGGTTATGCTAATCCTACCAACAGCGTTCAAGACCAACGGGTGATTTTCAGCAAGGTCTGTGAAAACCTTGTGTTTCTGGAAGCGTGGTGCTACATGTGACGTACTAAACACATCAGCTTCCACAATAAAACAGCTCCACCGCGTTTTTTAAGTTCTAAACCCTCTCCGATCACATCCAGCCCAACTGAAACTGATGGATGTACTCACATTTTTTTCTCATGCCCTTGCCTTTCCCAGCTTTTATCCATCACCAGTCCCTAGAGACCCCTGTTAGAAAGAGCTGTCCAAACCACTTTCTTTTACTAAAGCTATCCAAAACTAAGCATCAACTGCTTGCTTTTTTTTTTTTTTTTGAGTTGTATGACATTTTTCGAACACTTGATGTGCCAGATTTAGTTCCCATCTCCAAGATCATCTTTCAAACACAGAAAAACGCTTTCTAGACGCAACAGGCTCTGCTGCATTTCCACTGGGTGGCATGGCTCTATCAGCAAAGAGGTTCTTTTGTCACTGTTACATGACTAATACCTACCAGCATAACCTCATCTACAACAAGATTTCTGCCCACATAAGTATAACTACCCAACATAGCTATACACATAAAATGGAAGAGAGACCAAATCTTTGACAGCTTCTAAATGTTTTCTAAAATATGCAAATTTCTGCAGCTTCTACTTTGAGGCACGAAGCGTCAATGTTTTATAGCTGGCCTTTCCCTGTCTTTAATGCCTTCTCAGCAGCCACACTGATGCACTTGCCTGCCGTGCAATCGCTTAGTCTGACCCGCACATTTATTCCTTGGGAGAATAAAGACAACTGGTAAACAGACTGACGGGGGGAAAAAAACAACAGTTACATCTTCAGTAGCTACTTGAGATTTGGTGATCTTTTTGCCCCTTCCTGTGTCTGTCTTGACTGAAAAAAAGAAAGCAAGTCAGATTTTTAGTTTTCAGTTTCCAGGACAGATTTAATTAAGAGCGACAGCCAAGATGATGCATATTAGTGCATTTGCTATAAATTATCAACTACCAGGAAAAAAAAAAGCATTCTTCAAAATAGAGGTCTTACCAGTTTCCAAGACCTGTAAAATATAAAGCCATAAGGAACTGTAATCTGTTCCAGTTTCCCACCCATGACAGGCCAGCCAGTTTCACAGCTGCCTCCCCACCGAGACCAGACCTAATCATTTCAGATGGTCACCACGCCACAGGCAGATGGTTCCAAACCCAGCACACATATATCACTTCCGAGGTGGCTTATTTGTGTGCCAGCTGTGATACAAAACCAGTGGAGAACAGCAAGTCTCCACTGCCAAAGATTACTCCTGTCCACACCACCCTGCCCTGTGAATCTTGCAAAAGATATATTAGACAAGCAGCTCAGAATAATTAAAATGTATCTTCCATAGCTGCCTCTAAACTTTCTTGAGAGCTATGGAGCCCTTCTCATCGTGTTATTCTCATTTTTAAAAACCTGCTTTATTTACCACTTACAGCTTTAGCTTCCAATTATCAGTTCTTCAGAAGTCTTCCTGAACTAGCTGTAAGAACTATTTAAAGAATGCCTGCGTTCTCTTCCTACCAAAGCTATATACTCAGGAATTATCTGCTTAATTATTTTTATTTGTTTAGGATGAAATAAATGTATTGACCACAAGCATTGGTGACTCAAACATCTTCACTGCAGGGTTCTTGGTGTGCGTGGCCCCAGTAAAACCATCAAAACCTTAGGTCATAGTCCAGTTCTAGCCTCAACAGTGACAAACCCACACACCTTTTGCTCCTTTACAAAGGCTCTTTTCCTGAATAACTGCTTTTCGGGATACAATCTCACTGCATGGATACAGCTGGCATCTTTCACATCTTGATTTGGCACTGTTAAAATGCACTCGAATGAACTCGAGTTTCAAGAATATCCAAAATGCTTTCCAGGACTGGCAGGATATTCACCACAGATTCTTGCATCAACCACAGGTCTCTGGGAAGGTAGTTTCAGGGTGTGTCAGTTTTGTTTAAAAAAAAAAAAAAAACCAACAAAAAAGCTACCTTTGTATCCACTGAGAACAAGGCTGAATAGCATCAGATCAACACTGTTTTCCACAGAATTCACCTAGAAACAAGTTCTCTCTCAGAGAGAACCCTTTGATACCACACAGCCTTCCCAGCAAGTCGGCTACCTTAACTATATTAACATTTGATAAAATAAATCAGCTTCTCATAAACTGCAAGAAATTCGCCTTCTTTAGCAAGGAACCTGCGAGTGAAACAGTCACTTCTATGCGATCTGCGTCCATCTGAATATGCATGTATAGATAACGGTATGGACTATAGATTATAGCATAAATGCAAGCCGACAAGGTATTTTACCCAGTCAAGACACAGCAGCTCCCACCGTTACACAGAGCGAGACGGGATCCGCTACGAAGGAAGCTCCTTCGCTCAGCAGACCTCAGCAACGCCGGCCCCAGGCAACCGAAAGCGGCAG